CCCCAAAACCCCAAAACCCCAAAACCCCAAAACCCCTAGATACTTCATATATTTTGAATATAAAATGAATTTAAAACAAATAGAGCGAAGGTTTGACTTACTTGACAAGGTAATCTTCTTATCATTTGCACAATTACCCAGCTGAGATTTCTGCCAAGACTGAGACTCTTTCTCAACAAGTTTTGATAATATTGGGTTAATTTTAGAGAGAAAAATATGTAAATTATTACTATAACCCCCTTGCTCAACCAATTCCTGGGCTGAAGCAGTAAGTTAGCAGTAATGTCCTTAGATCGTGCCATATTAAAGAGCTGAAAAGAGATGCTGAGAGGGGTATTACTATATAATCATCTATAGATATTCCCAACTATGGATTAGTATCTCAAAATTTAAACAGTGATTCAAAAGGAAAGTTAAAACCATACCAGGATTCAAATAACCAGTTCAAACACATCAAGGTAGTGATTTTTCATTATTCTGTAGAGCAATATTAAACAGTATATGAATTATGCACCCAGATCTGATTCCAAGAAGGATAATAAGTACGAGATCACAGGGCCTCAGCTTAAAAAGATAGTTCTTCCAGGTATTAGTTTATTCACTAAATTTTTCAGGTGGCAGCAAAAATAGCAAGAAACATCATCAAGACAAAAGGTTCAGAGATGGAATGGAAAACTCATTGATGGACAACACTCTTGTGGGATCCCAGTCTGATCTCGAATCTCGGCTGAAATCAGCCCAAAGGGCTGATGAAACTGAGTACAAGATTCTGATAGAGGGAGAGAAGAGAATTCATCATGGAAAAGTTACATTTAAATAAATTTACAACCTCAGCCAATTCTAGAGAAAAGCAAAAGCGTATAATGAATTCTTCTGCCTTAGTGAACCTAAACAAGATTATACATAAGAAACAGGGATTGAACGAGAGTATGAGAGCTCCTAGTAAATGATCTTTTACTACTCCTATTACAAAATTTAATCTAACTCAGACCTGAGGGTAACTTATAGCATGATATTTTAGGACAAAGCAAATCACAGCTGAGCCAAGCCAAAGGATAAAAAAGAACAGCATCATTGGAAAAGAGCTGACTCTGTATGAATCCCAGCTTAATGGAAGATTCAAGAAGAGGATTTGTAGTGCAAAACCTCTTAAAAGGAACCATAGAAGAGTTTACTCAGAACAATTCAATATTCCTCAACATTCTGAAGATAAGAGTTACATTGTTAACAACACTGAGTACGATCAGATGAGGCTTATTGTCAACAGGACACCAAGAAGAGCTCCTAAGGTTCATAAAGTAAACATTGATACAGAGTCTCCAAAAGAAGTGCTTATTCCTGGTGTGGATGAGCACTTCTTGTACAAAATTAGACTTCCAGAGGGTATAAAATAGCATGACAGAGTATTCTCCTTTTTAAATTTCTAGGAATTTTGAAATTGACATTGAAAAAGACATCTGACTTCATATGGAATCTGAACTCTTTACAGTAAATGTAAAAATCTGAATGATTTCTCAACTAACAGATGATTTCAAATACATTGAATTCATTGACTGTCCGATAAGGTCAGATTTGAATGTTATATTGTGACCCTCAGAAGAAGACCCAACTACATTGAATCCATCCAAGCATTTCCCTTGGGTAAAAGATAGAGAAGATATCGAGAATCAAACTTTCCAAGTCAGAGTTACTTTCTGACACTATAAAAATACCAACCAGACTGAAGAGATCATGAGCAGATTTGTCCATTTTGGAAAGCTTAACAAAGAGAAACTGTGCAAGATTTATCTACAGATTGGTAGATACCTTCAAAGTCTAGACATGAACAGTAAGAAGATCTCTGCTGATATGATTAATAGTTCAAATCAAATTTGGCTAATATTTTTGCATAGGCTCAAGAAAGCAAAGCTTTACCATCCCAAACCCTGAAAAGTAAGGAATCTGTATAAAGGACCATAGTATCATAAAATAATGCAAATTCTGATTCAAGGATAAGCCTCCTGTTCAAGACAGATGGATTCAAGAGCACTTCTTATCTGGATGATCTCAATCTTGACCCAAAGAAGTTATCTAAAATAAAACCTCAAGGGAATTCATGCAAGATCAGCGGGAGTGACTCCCTAGATACAATGTCAGGGCTGGTGTTTTCAAAGCTTCTGGTGGAGCTAGAAAATGAAAATTTTGATGATATTTTCCAGCTAGTGAATACTATTCATGGGCAAATAAACTTTGAAAAGGGGCCAAATGCATCACAAGAGCCTATTCTTGTACCAAACCCTCCAAAGTTCTCTAAAGTAAATCAAAAGGCACTGGCTCTAACAGTAGCAGATTTGGCAGATCTCAAGCGTGAGCTAGTGAGACTAAATGAGTTTTTCTCTGGTAATCAAGTAATTCTCGAGTTTGCTTCAAAAATCATCCAGTTACATTGTCATAATGAATTCTCCATCTTAGTGGCAGACACTTCTACTGAGGCAAAGAACCAGGAATTTCTAAAGTTTATAAAAAGTATTGAGAAAATAGACAAGAATAAAAGAGTTAGATTCAGGACATCTCCTGAAAAACAAGCTTCTCGAGTCAAAACTGGATATAATAAGAAAAGGAAGAACTTAACCTCTGGGTTTAGAAAATAGAATATTGAGGTAAGATTTGAGAGGTGATAAATCTAAGCTATGGCTAATTTAGAAGGATTATCAGTGGTTTTGTTCAATTTTTACCTTTTGTAGCGCTCACCAAACAAAAATGCACTCTTGAAAATCAGGGATTAGAAAGAACGATAGGAAAAGTAACGAAATGTCTCATAAAGAAGAATCTCAGTAATTTTAACAGCTCATTATTGAAATAGATTCATTCCTCTCGTAAAGCTCTCTTCTACAGGCCAATTTAACTATCTCAAAAATTCTGAACTCCAAGACCTCTTAATAGCCAAACCAGCTCCAAAATCAACCAAAACCAATCCCAAGGCCTCTTCCCCACCAACCCCAAAACGCCCTTCCTCCAAACCGCAATGCTCTAAAGCTCTCTACAATCATTTCACCCTCCAAAACTTCCCTGAAGACATCCAAATCCAATGTCACATCAAAACCTCCAAAGACTCCAAATCCTCGAAACGTAGCAAGAAAGCACTTGACAGTACCCTAAACCAATCCTCTCTCGATAGCTCTCTCCACGCTAGCTTGATCCCAATCCATCCTCGTGAGCCCCACCCCAAAATTTCCCAGTAAGCCTTACCCAGTCTTCCTTCTCCTCCTAAACCCCCTCTAGTCGCGCTTACGGATCCAAATCCCCACCTAGCCCAAGTGCCGCTCCTTCTTCAGCCGCGGCACCATTCCCTAAATTTGACCTAACCCAGATGAACCAGTACACTGAATTATCGTACAAAATCACAGATCTAGATCCAGTCACCACTGCACAAGATGCTGACAACACAGAATTTCTGAACAAGCCACTGAGAGTCGTTGCCCAGCCAGCGAGATTTTATGTACAATAAAGTTCAACTTTGAGCCTGAACAGAGGGGTTTTGGGGTTTTGGGGTTTTGGGGG